ACGCCTCCCCTCCAATCCCCAATCACGGCTCTTCCTCGGCCCCTACTTCGTACTCCTTGCCCTATTTTTTTTTCTTTTCGATACCCCCTACCTTCCCCTCCCCCCCTTCCCTACTCCCATCCCCCCCCTTCCTTCCTCCCGTATCCCTACCCCTTCCCTTTCCCTCACCCTCTTCCTGCCCCTCTCCCCTCCCCCAATCCTATCCCTACGCCCCCACCCACTCCCTTTCCCCCCGCCTGGTTCCCCTCGAGCCCTCCCCCCCCAACCGCCCGGAGTACAGCAACAGGAAAAAGTGCACCTGGTTAACCCGAGCTCCAGTTCGTCAGCGGTCACGATTCCGGCGCACTTATGCAAACACATTGGAGTGTGGAGTGGGAGTGGGAGTGGGAGTGGGAGTGGGAGTGGAGTGGAGTGGGAGTGGAGGGGAGTGGGAGTGGGAGTGGGAGTGGAGGAGGAGTGGGGTGGGGTGGAGTGGGGGGAGTGAGGAGCAGGAGTATGGGTGAGTGCGATTATGAGCGAGTATGTAGCCTATATACTGATGTGTACATTAAATGTTATTTTAAGTAGACTATGGATTTTCTCACGTATGAAGGTATGAAAGTACGTATGCATCCACGTATGGACGTGTTATCTTGCATACACACCCTATGACAGACATAGATATATATATAGACCTACATCTTGCAAACCAATTTTTCACCATCATTTAAGACCACCTCCGAACCAGGGTCGTCTCACTACACATCCCTTTCTTTCCTCACAGCCCCAACACCCCCTACCCCCTACCCCCTACTCCCCTTACCACCAAGCCACCCGTCCATCACGGAAACTCCCCCTCCTCCCTCCTCCCCTCTCCCCTCGCCCCTTCTCCCTCCGCAAACCCGGGCGAGGCGGCGTGAGGAGAGAGAATGAGAGGGAAATGTCAGAGGGGCGAGGCGGTCTGTAGGGAGGGAGGGAGGAAGGAGGAAGGGAGGGAAGGGAGACAGGGAAGGAGAGGGAAGCCCGTGAACGTAAAGAGGGGAGGCGAGTGGCGAGAGTAGAGGTATGGGAAGGGCGAAGAGAGACAGAGGAGGAGGAGAAGGGGGACGGAAGGCCGAGGGAGGGAGACGCCAAAGAGGGGGTTAGAGATAGAGAAAGGGTGACCGAGAAAGGGAAGAGGGAATTGGGGGGCAATGGGGGAGGGGGAGGGGAGGAGGGAAGGGGAAGGAGACCCCAGGGAGGAAAGGGAGCAGGATGCCGAGCCCCGCGAAGACAAAACACGACGGCGCGGCTTTGAGGAAATGCTCGCTAATCTATCGGCCTCTCGGCGAGCAGCCCCAATCAAGCCGCCCGGGGGGGGGAGGGGGGAGGGGGGATGGAAGGAGAAGAGGGAGTAGGAGGAAGAGGAGAGAGAGGATGGAAGGAAGATGAGGAAGGAGAAAGGAAGGGAAGAGGGTGAAAGAGGAGGAAGAAATGAGGGGGGATAAGGGGGAGGAGGAGGAAGAAGAGATGAAGGGGATGGGAGGAGAGGAGGAGGAATGGGGGAGAGCAGGAGGAGGAAGGAGGAGGAGACTGCATCCGCCAATGTGCTCGAGTACGACCCCGGCCTCGTAATCAACGTCCGGAGTTTTAATCTTCACTTATTCAACTTCCTTTCGTTATTCGCTCGATGACATAAGCCTACATATATAGTCTTTTAAATATATCAGATAATCAAACTCAATTACAAACAAAAACAAACACACAAACACACAAACACACACACACACACACACACACACACACACACACACACACACACACTTCTTCACGAGGCCGCCTGGTGAGTAAGGGGGAGGGGGGGAGGGGGAGAGCCGGTAGCGACTACTTTTTCCCGCAGCGAAACCGAGCGCTGGCAGTGTTCAGTGTTGCCGGGATAGGGTGCAGGAGCCGACCCTCCACGCTGCTACCGGGCATACGGGCATATGTTACTCGCGCCCCAGCCGGACACTTGGCTACCCTCTCCCCGCCCCTCCCCCCTACTACCTAACCCATCCCCCCACCCCTACCTCTCTTAGAGTCACTCCTCCCCCCTGATCCCATACCCTATGTCCTCCCCTACCTCCCCTCCTCTTGCCCCTCCCCTGCCCCACACACACACTCACTCCACCTCTCCTCCCTCTCTCAACTCTTCCCCTCGTCCTCACTGCTACTCGCTTCAGCTCTCACTCTCACTCCTCCCCTCACTCGCCTCCTCTTCCACCTCCCCTATCACTCTTCTATCCACCCTTTCTTCTCTCTAAACCCCCCTCCCTCGCATTATCCCACCCTTTTCTCCCCTCTATCTCCCTCTCACCACTACCCCCCTTCCCCACCATATTTCCCCCCTCTATCCCTCCCCCTTCCCTTTCCCTCCTCCCCACCTACACAACACTCCCTACTCCTCCTGCCTACACCACCACTCCTCCCCTCACTTTACCTTCCCTCCCTTCCCCTCCCACCACATCCTTTAGGACAGGCTTCACCCTTCACCCTGCCACAACGACACCCAGTGGAGTAGGAGGTAGAGGAAAAAGAGGAAGATCAGTAACAAGAGGAGGATAAGGAGGAAGAGGAAGATGAGAAAGAAGCGAGAGACGTGGAGGAAGAGGAGGAGGATTAGCGGCGCATCCTGGTCATCCTCAGCTCGCTCCTTCCCATTCCTTCGAGCAGCGCCGCTCCTCGGCATCCTAGCGCCATCCACAGCACTTAGGGACAGGAAGAGGGAGAGGAAGGAAGGAGAGGAAGAGAGAAGGAAGGAGGAGAGAAGAGGGAGGAAAGGAAAGGAGAGGAGAAGAGAAGAGCAAAGAAAGAAAAAATAGGTAGAGACCGACCAACAGATAGCAGACACACGCGAGAGGGAGGAACGGGAGGCGAAGGAGGGATAGGTGTGATATTATTAACCTGTCAGCCTCGAGATAAACACTTCTAAAAACACATCCCTGATGACCTATCCATAGGAGAAGAACACACGGACGGACGCTGTTACGCCCTGCCCTGCCTGCCTGCCTGCTTGTTTAACTGCCTAACTACCTGCTTGGCTAACTACCTAACTCTTTAACTACCGGCCTGGCTAACTCCTGACTGCTTCACTGCCTGCCTGCCTACTTGTTCAACTGCTTAACTGCTTAACCACTTGCCCGGCTAACTACCTAATTGCTTCACTGCCTGCCTGCTTGTTGGACTGCGTAACTGTTTAACTACCTGCCCGGCTAACTACCTAACACCTGCCTGGCTAATTACCTAACTGCTGCCTGCCTGCTCCCTGCTTCACTGCCTGCCTGCTGCCTGCCTGCTTGTTTAACTGCCTAACTGCTTAACTAACTCCTGGCTAACTACCCAACTAATGCACTGCTGCCTTATTCATCTGCTTGCCTACTTGCCTTCCTGCTTCACTACCTGCTTCCTGCTTGTCTAACTGCCTGTTTGTCTGCCTGCCTAACTTTCGAATTCCCTGCCTAATTGCCTGCCAGCCCGCTAGCCTACTCTTGGCGTAGCAATGTGACTCACCTACACCTTTAACACACTAATCTGGATACCGACTGTGTGACCGAAAGGAAGGGTGTGTGTGTGTGTGTGTGTGTGTGTGTGTGTGTGTGTGTGTGTGTGTGTGTGTGAGTGAGAAAGAAAGAGAGCGAGCGAGGAGGCGAGGCTTCCTTCCTGCTAAGAAAGCCATCAATGACCATAAACGAAAACGCAAGAAACGGCTCCGGCGCAAGCCCTCACGCCCCCCCCCCCCTCTCCTCCTCCTCCCCCTCCTCGGCGAATCGCGTCCTCACCACCAACAAACGAGCCACTTCTCCTCCAGCGCTCTCTTCTAGCCTTCCCCAACCAACTTACTGTGTCTGCACCCTCTCCCCCTCCCTCCCTCCCCCACCCTCCTCTTCATCCCCCTCCCCTCCTCCCCCTCCCCTAGCCAGGTCACATTACACCCGCCACCAGAGGACTCGCACAGCAGCCAATTGTATACCCCTAAAGTTTCACTCAGACACCTAGCCCGCCGCCCGCCTTCGCCCGCCTTCCCTCCTTGCCTCGGTCCCTCGGTCCCTCGGTCCG